AGTTAAACTAAATAATAATAATTAAACTTATATATATATATATATATATTTAATATTATTTAAAAATTTATTTGATCTACAAACGTTCGAAAAAAAAGAAAACCAACGTCAAATTCGAAATTCTTATCATTTTAAGTTATGAAATCTATAATCTCTCCATGTGTATAATTTAATATAATATTATGTTATTTATTTATAGACAAAAAGAAAGAATCTAGGATGAATAATTAGGAGATTTTCTGTCATTAAGATTGTCTTCTAAAAAATTATATATATTTTTATTAATCAATAATTATAATTAAAATCTAATCAATTTTATAATATTTTCTAATCTAATCAGATAGAATCTAACACATGCCGTCCTGTGTTAAAAGTCTCTTGGAGTTTATATAATTTGACTGGTTTTGTGCAGACCTAAGTGCCACTGCTGCTGGCGAATGTGCCGAGCACCCAACACTCGCATCTGTCAGTGGAGACTTTTCTCTGCCGGGCTGTGTTCTTCGCTTTACTCAGTTCATTTTGGTCCTCATTGGCTCGTTGCCGGCACTCATTCGACGCTTTACCCTTTTGCCCAGCTGAGGGGATGACCGAGTAGCTTCCACCATTCAGCGCGTTGTCTGACTCGAGTCTTCCACGGCTCCTACTTCCACAGGGCATCTACTACTCTCGGTTTCTGCGAAGGACCAGTCGTATTTGTCATGATCCAAGAAATATATATCGCGCGACATGCATCACGCAACAAAACAAGGGTGGAATCACTCTCCACTTCTATCAGGTGATCACTTCAGAGCAAAAAGAAAGGCCGCCTCTCCATTTTTATCGCAGACGGGTGGCTGCAGATGAGTGATTATAAAAGACAAGCGGGATGTGAGAGAAACCAAACTGAAAACAAAAGGTAGGAGGGAGAACAAGCTTACGATTTTTATTAGCAAGAAAACAAGAAGAAGGCCGACAAGGCACGAGAGGAAAAGGAAGACACGTTCCGGCATGTGGACTCTTCCGAACGCAGCAGGTGTGAATCAGTCGGCATTGAATGTTACATAGGTTATTAGATTCAAGATTTCCAACCCTAA